ATATGGTACTAGCAAAACACCCCACAAGAAATGTGTCCTTTGCTTTGACAACAATAAATCCAATTCTGGATTAATGTTTCTCAGGAGACCCACCTATTTTGCTCACTGCTGGCATATCCAGATACAGACTAAAACACATAGGAACTGAAGAGTGGCCTAATCATAACAGCGAGTGGCCACAATGTCACAGAATCAACAAGATGTGTCCCCAAAAGAATGCATGGGGTTGACCTGTAGCCTCATTGGGGCTCCCTAGACAACAGGTCTGCCTGCCATAGGAATGCATTCGGTAGACCTGAAGCCCCAAATTTTACTCAGCTATAGTTTCTCCCCCCTGATATTGTCCCTGAGCCAAACTGACACTAGGCTCTCAGTCTCTCATCCCTGTTAGATATCACAGTAAAGTCAAACAAAGGAAAAAAGTGGGGCAATGTACACAACAGCAGTGTATGCAGCCTGAAGCTGGAGCCTGGTTGGCTGGAGTCACACTCCACTACCAATCAGGCTCCGTGTGGCAGGATCACCACTGCTGCAGCCTTGGGTGGCCCCAGAGCCCCAGGTAAGGCTGCTGGGGGTCAGCCCAGTGCTGGCTCCAGCTTCCCCTACCCTACTCAGAGTAACTTGCCACACACCAGCATGCGCATGGCACAGGTGTTCCCTGGGGTCAACTAATGGCAGTGCAAGGTGTGCTAGTGCTAATTGTCCCTAGGGAACCAAACATCCATGCAAGTCTCGATGCAGCCACAGAGATTATCATCATTCTCTAATATGGTATGCATTATAGTGTTTTGAGCTAGATGTTTTCTGTGTTAATGAGAGTGCTTACCCATATTTTCTTGTTTGTTATTGTGGATTTTTGTAATGGTTATTTTACATTATGTCTACACATAAAGTTTTAGCTCTTAACTTCTTACTGCCCATAATAAAGGCCAATAAAATTCACATGAAAAATTCCATACTAAGCATCTAATTACTGTAACATTTTAGTCAGTCACTCATTCATGTAGGCTTTAATCATGCTGATATTATTCAGATGAGAACATGGAGTGTTGCGGGAGGGGAGAGAATCACCTTGCACATAGCAGTCAAAAACAGTTTGTATTTTTATATACTTGTGTGTCTGTGTGAGTGGTTGGGTGAAGGTTACAGTTTATGCATAATAATTTTCTTGGAAGAAGTTTAGAAAATTGCCATCCTAGTAGACCACATCTTTCACGCATACTCATACCGCACTGTGGTGGTATCACCATATTTTTGTTCTATATATGGTAGTAACTTAAATAGGAAGTTATTCTATTAAATGGAAAGCAAATTCCAATTAATATAAAACACATTCTGCTAACAAAAACTTATATAAAGTCATTAAGCTTAAAAAAATAGGAAGAAAAATGAAAAATTAACACAACCTAACCATAGCATATCTTAATTAATTCAAGCTTTCAGGTTTACATTTCTCATTGTCTTATGAACATCAATAAAACTTCTGTGTATAATAAAGTTACTAACTGGCTACAAAGAATGAGTACAAAAACTGACAAGGGTTTTATATCAGAACATTATAAATTGTTTACCCTTAGAGCGTTAAAGATACGTTATGGGTTATGGTGTATTTCATTGTTATGCAGTGCATTACATAGACTAATATCAGATATCAGAGTTTTCTCTCATCATCCATGGCTTGTTTTCTTAACAGTCACATTTGAAGTTAACCTTCTCTTTTATGAACTTAAGAATTCTGGGAGGAAAATTTAGCGACTTTTTTCTTCAACAAATATGAATTTGAAAAAAGGAGAAAAAATCTCTAATAACACCCTTCCCCCTCACCCTCGAGACATAATTTGTTTTGGGAAGGCAGAAAGAAGAAAAAACAATACAATATGTCCAGAGTCATGGCTGACTTCAGGGGATCCTCAACCCATGGCTGAGCTGTGACTGGAGCTGTGGAGCTGTTCAGCCTAAAGCTGGTTTAGGCTAAACCGTGTCATAACTGCTGCCAAATTGGCAGCAGCTCTGAAAGCATTCAAGTTAACTGTGATGCTTACAGTCCACCCTTGGTTGAGCCATGATGAGAAGCAGAGACTGGGCAGCCATTAAAGCATCCCCATACATCTGTTACAGGATCACTGTGTTTCAATTCCAGTGAGGAAATCACTTTCCCCATGTAGAACATGCACTTTAATTTTGAAGGGCTGATTTTTTTGGAAAAATGTGCCCATGAATACAGTAAGTTTTTAAGCAATTATATTATTTTGACGTATTTTTGATTAACACTTAGGTGGTTTAAAAAAAATACAGAGAAGAGGCAATAGGAAGAGTTTCAAACAACTATATCAGTTCTCTCCAGTCATCCAAATCTAACTACATATTTAATTTAAATATCAACTAAATTTTGTTAAAACAAAATATTGGTCAAGTAACACACAAGGCTACTCACTGAGTCAATCTTCTCCAGTAAGTAAAGTTTAACAAAAAAGAAACAAGAGTTAGAACTAAGAGATACTCCTTTTTGCAATCCAGTATTAAGTGAGCGATTCCAATCAACTTCATATGTGTCAGTTTGGTCAAATATGATCTGCACAAGGTTATTTGGCAGGGCAAAGCTAGTTGTCAGATGAAGTTTCCTCATCTTTCCTAGTGGCAGGAATCAGTTGTGACATCAGTAGATACCATGACCCATTCTTTTTTTTTATTCCTGTGAGCTCCTTAGAGGAGAGCCCATCCCTTTAAACATCTGGAAAGCACCAAGAAGACTGGATTTTCTAAAAATAACAACTTAAGAGTCAAAGACTAAACTCAGAATGCCCAAGAGTATAATTTAGACGTGATGCTTTCCATGGCCTAAGGTTCAGCAATCCTTATGTGTATTAGATGATTAATTCTGAGATGAAAGCAAAGACAAATCAAACAAAAAAGGAAAGAAGTAAAGATAAAGCAACTATTTTATGTTATGGTGGGATATGTAGTCAATGGTGGGATACATAGTCTAAAGCCACTTTTTAATGCAGACAATCTGAATTCATGAATACACCATATTTGAACAATTTTGGAAATTACCATTAGAGTTTAGTTCTCATCACACATTTTCATTCATCAGATATGCCCTAGTATAGCTTTTGCTTGTGATTTTAACTTTCCCCACAGCTCCTGCTAGAGCATATATCAGGTTAATTGCTTAAAGGCCTTGTATTCTTCTACTGTTATCCCAACAAAGAGGCCACATCTGTTCGATAAATTTCTCCCAACAGTTGCTCTCTTTTCATTATAGTTAAGGGCCCTCTACAGGTGTAGGTAAAGATGTGATAGAAATCTAATGTATGATCCACACAATTGCACCTTCTGTATGCCACACATGTATGGCAGGAAGCATGATTGTGGGATCATGAATCAGATCCCATCACTCATTATTGATGATGCAGGGGGAGCCCAGCCATGGGCTCCTCCTGCAACAGGAAAACCAAAGCTCCCATGGCTAGAAGTGCCCTCAGCTGATGGGGATTTCAGCTATGGGGGAACCCTGTGCACCCCTCCCTGCAGCCGGAAGCCAGCATCAGCTGTGGTATCTCAGCTGCAGGGTACATGAGGCTCCCCTGTAGCTGGGAGTCCTGTCAGCTGAGAGCTCCCAGATTTAGGGGTGCACATGCCTCCCTCCCCCAAGCTGGACACTCTGATCAGCTGATGGGGCTCCCAGCCATAGGGGTCCCTGGCCACATATTCAATTAATAGCATGGTAGAAAGCAGCTACAAAGTTATTTCACATATTTTGTGGAATAACTTTGTAGCTTATTCCTCTTTTTCATCATACCATTAATTGATTGAATGTATGGCCAGATGACCACTTAAGGTGTGTGTGCTGGCAAGATACAAGCCACCATGATCACTGGAAACCTGGAAGTGCCAGGTGAATCTCAATCCTGGGACTTACTAGCACACCCAATGGCAAGACAACTGGAGGAAACCCTGGTGCTGCTGCCACCATGGTTTATCAGCATGTGCTGGCACTGGCTGGCCAGGTGGGGGCTGGGAGACATCATGAAGATGTGCCCAATGCTGACAAGGGAGGAGACTGTCGTGAATCAGAGCAGCCGCCGGCAGCTTGTCTGACTCACACACCGGAGTGGTAGATTTAGAGCTTGGCAGGCGGGTAGTGATGGATGGAGTGGAATTAACCAGGCACAGACACGTGTAGGTTACAGGAGTTTGTTTACTTATGTCGCCTAGATAGTGATGATGACGCAGGCGAGCCTTTGTTCCGTTACAGCTTCGGTTACAGAGTTGAGTACACGCATATAGCTTCGCTTACAGAGTTGAGTACACGCACGCAGTCAGGTTACAACGAGATAATGACGGACGTGGCGCCGGAACGAACAGTCGGGCTTGCAAGACTTTCTACGTCAATATTTTACGCTGACGGGGTGATTGATTAGGAATTGATCAATTTCCCAATTCTCTGGTGACAAGCACAGGTGTTTCCTGTGAGATCCCCAGAGCTCTCCGCCTTGGGTGGAAACCGTTAAACTATTTATAGGCAGAGGTGTTTTATAGGAATATCCAATGATGAACCGTTATATGGAATCTTTAATTTTTGGCAGGTGGCAGCTCTTTGTCTCCTCAAGTTACAAGGTAGTGGGTTAGGTTTCTCTACCTGTTACGTGTGTGCTACGTGTGAGGAGCTTACGTTTATCTTTGACCAATTATATATAGTTTCCCCTAACATTTTATTTCAGCTGACCAATTATCTACAGTACTCTGGCCGCATTTTGTTTCAAGGAATTTTTGGCAGGGATGTCTTTTAACCCTTAGTCGTCAAAATGAGGATGATTTGAATGGTATCTCTTGCTCAGTGACATGGGCACAATTTAATTGGGTTGTGACAGAGACCAGAAGAGGAAACCAGGGAGAGAATAAGCCAGCTTTCAGAGTGACATGGCCCAGTAGGGGCAAGTGGAAGGGACTGGTTGCAGTTGCTTCATGTGAAGACTTGGAGGAGTCTTCAAACTTACCTGGAGAGTGACGGCAAGGGGATCCAGAGCTGCTGATGAGCCAGTGAAGGAGTGAGGAGCACTTGCCAACCTGGAGAAGAAAATATGACATCTAACCATGAGCGGATTGGGGGAGAGAAAAGAAGTTTCTTCCTCCCTGCATCCTCAAGAACCTGAAAGATTGGGAGATTCTTTTATTTATGGATGGTATAGGGAAACCTCAATCAGGGGAATAGGACTGTGCACAGAGATAGCCAGATTACCTCTGGATTTAGATTAACTGAGGCTTCTGGCTTGGACATAGGGCGCACCAAGTACTTGAAGACATTGTGGGTGCATGTAACCTCCCATGTCATTCGCTAGAGCACTCCGCAATTTCTGGCCTTTCAGGTGCCGCTGTCTCCTTTTGGGTTGACAGCTTGTCATCTGGACAGATACCTTGAAATGTCCCCAGGGATTCTCACCTGCCACATCTTGCTGGTATTGATTATTGTTGGGAGAATGTTTTTAAGTCCTGCCTTCCCTGGTTTCCTCCTTCGGCACTCCTGCTTGGCCTCCCATATTGGGGCTCTGCCTCTCCTACACCCCGCCTTGTGCCAACCAAGATGTTGTGTCTTGGCCACGACAGATAAAGTCCACTTGCCATGGTAAGGACTTTAGACTTTATATGTTCACAGTCCAATTTGGATGGTATATCGTCTGGCTTCAGGCTTCATGTCAGTCTGACTTGTCTCTCTGTTTGCCCCTGGTTATCTTGCTCCCAGGTGCTCTCCCTTTTCTCCCTGTATTGACTCACAGAATCTGATGGCTTTTCCTCTCTTTCTCTCCCCAGGCTCACCAGTGTTCCACTCTATACCGGCTGCATCCGGGATCCATGTTCCCATCCCAGGTAAGAATTCAGGCTCTGCCGAGCTAGCATTGTCTGGACATGCCACCTCCCGGGGCTGCCAACACTTGCCCCCATCAGGCCTGCCAATTGATCCTGGCCTCTCTGGGCCTTCTGAAGGACCCACTTCCGGTCCTCCCCAACCGTAGTCTGGAGGGGTTTTTATTACCCCCTCCAAGGGCCGGCCAACCAACTGGCATCAGTATGGCACCATAAAGTGTGCTCACGCTGGTGTGGGTGCATACACCAGCTCCCCCATGGCCCACTGAGGCCACTTCAGCTTTTCCACTTCTGGTCTTGATGCAGCCCATCCTCTGGTGGTCTCTCTCCCACCATGCCTCTGGTCCTTGGTGATGTCCCACCAGCTCTGCGTCCCACTGCATCCATAAGGTAATTTTCTGTACCCATCCACACTCTCCATCCATAAGGTAATTTTCTGTACCCATCCATAAGGTAATTTTCTATTTATGGTGGTGGCCCTGACACAGTGCACTAGCTGCTCTACTTACTTGATTGTTACTTACATTGGGTTGGCACTAGGACAGGGTGTAGGTGGGGCAGAGCCCCAAAGAATATCCTTTGACTGAACAAATCTTGATGCAGAGGAATTAGAAACCTTCCTCCTCTTCAATACATAAACATCAAGAGTGGTGGGCAAAGAGAGGGTTTGCACCATAAGCATTTGGTGACACCTGGGGTTAAACTGTCCAGTCATAAGGGTGAACGTGCAGAAGACCCCACCTCATGATGAAAATGTCCAGCTAAGACAACACATAGACATTTACAGTGTGATTAACTGGACAATTATATCTTAATTGTAATGTGTAGATGGGGCCTGAGATGGGCCTTGATAGGTTCAAGTGCAAGACAGACAGCTTGAGGAAGGTTACACTGTTTCTAACTGTAGTGAATTGAATCTGAGAATAAACTTCCTATCCTTGAAAGTTCTGAGTATATTTACAGAGGTTACAAGCACACCCTGTATGGCCCATCAGTTCAGTAGGGTCCACTCATAGTAAACTGTTAATTAACTAGCTGAAGAAGAGTTAAAAAACAACTTTCATCCAGACGTCATTCAAGTTGAGGCCCTAAAAGATATCCTCCGTGTTATGGTAGAATAGAAGTGATATTGTAGCCATGATGGTCCAAAAATTAAGCAAGAGGCAAGGATTTCATAGGGTGATATATGTTATTGGATCAACTATATAATTGGGATAAAGTTAGACAGACTTTTGAATGAAAGATATTCTTCCTCAGTCCTATAATTAGAGACCTAAGAAAGAATGTAGTTTATTTGAAAGCTTGTCTAAGTTTATCCTAACTGCATAGGTGGTCTCACTCTAAGAAGTCCTTGCCTCTTGCCCTAAGAGATGCAAAACTGAAAAACAAACCTTTGTAACCTGCCAGTTTCTACTGTATAGAAAACTCTTCAGTTGCTGAGCAGTAACAATTAAGTCACAATGCTAATCAGTGGCTCTAGCTGATCGTAATTATAATACATATTTATGGAAATTAAATTATAAAAGTAGAAACTCTGATAATAAGCAGAGGTGTACAACATGTTGATAATATTGCTAGGATATTGAGCTATTTAGAACCTGTTCTTGATATAGAGTGTGATTCTCTGTTGCAAATGAGAAGTTTATCATATCCAACTGTTGTAAATCATTCCACACCATCAACCAACCTTCCCCAGTCAACATGCATATAATTATAGTCTTTAATTTTTGCTATTTTGAATTTTAAATATGTTTTTCACTTATTTGACTTTCATTTATTTTTTATTCATATAAAATGGGCTCGTTCAAACCTGAGGTTCAGATGAAATCAAACTTAATGATATACAAAACTACAAAGTCACTTGTCAACATTTATTACTTTAACATGGCTGTAAAGTACAAACACAAAAAAATCCATTTTCCCTTAATGTACTCACCTCAGTTACTGATTCCTAATTACATGTCCCCCAGATAAAAGATGAGAACATATGTCATGCATTGTACTCTGAAAGTCAATAAGGTGGACTGTTGTGTCCACATGCTTTTAGCCCTGGAAATATCAAACTCTAAAAACATATACTGAATTCCTTTATTCTGAATTTCTGAAGCAGGTACTTAGTTCTGTGAATTGTGAACAATTCTGAATGAAGTTAAATACTTGGACATGGATTGTACTTCAGTTCTTTTAGGAGATGGCCAAATGCTTCCTTTTCATTCTTATCCCTCCTCTAGATTTCATAGAATTTTATTGTGGAAGTTACTACTATACATATTAGGAAGTGACTTTGGTCAGGCTGCAGTTGGAGTACTGCATCCAGTACTGGGCGCCGCACTTCAAAAGGGATGTGGCCATCCTGGAGAGGGTTCAGAGGAGGGCCACCCGCTTGGTGGGAGGGCAGCAGGACAGGCCCTACGAGGAGAGACTGAAGGACCTGAACCTGTTCAGCCTCAGCAAGAGAAGGCTGAGGGGGGACCTGGTGGCTGCCTACAAGCTCATCAGGGGAGATAAACAGCAAACAGGCAGAGCTCTTTTCTTCCCAGCACCACCTGGGGTGACAAGGAACAATGGTAATAAGCTGATGGAGAACAGGTTTAGGTTAGAGATCAGAAGGCAATATTTTACAGTTAGGGTGGCCAAAATCTGGAACCAACTTCCCAGGGAAGTGGTCCTTGCCCCTACCGGCACAATAGGATTTTCTTGCCACATGAGAAGGAGGAGGTTGGAATCACCTGTCGGGGGTCTTGTGACCCCAGCATTCATTCCTGCCTGTGGCAGGGGGTCAGGCTAGCTGATCTGTTCAGGTCCCTCCTGACCCTAGCTACTATGAAACTATGAAGTTCCTACTATACACATCCAGAGACTGGTGTGGATAGAGAAAGAAAGAAAGAGAGACAGAGAGAGAAAAAGAGAGAGAAACACTTTTGACTTTTTATAAAGGTTTATTAAGGGGAAAAAGGGGATAACAATCCAAGAAAAAAAATAAAACACTGCCCACGCAGGGGCCCAGGTACAACAGACAGAGCATAGGAATATGCCCTGCAAGGCCTGCCCTCACAGTCTAAAAAACAAAAACAGCTAGTATAACAACAGCCTGCTCAGAGTCCAGGAAGGGGCAAGCAGTATCAGAGCCTAAGGACTAAACAGATCCCCTCAATGCTACAGAGCACCCCCTGAATGGCCCAACATGCCTGGAAAGTGGGTACTGTCTGCTGGAGGACTGCATGTTCAAATTCCAGTGTCAGGCATGCCCAGACCACGAATTGGAAAAGTTTCAGGGCATCATCAGAGCTGGCCCTAGTGAACCAGTTCCTGTGGCTCTTGAGGATGGCCATCTTAGCCTAACCAAGCAAAAAGTTGGCCAGGCAGATGATATCCCTTTGCCATGTACCCAGGTCTGCAGAGACATCCCTGTGCCATGTGCCCTGGCTGCTGGCAGCAATCCTGGGCAGGAGAGGGTTAACTCTCCCACAGGAGGTGCTGCAAGGAAAAAGAGAAAAAAAGCCTCATACTGAAGCTGGGGACTGGGAGGGAGCTAAAACAGCTCCAATATTGGCCCCAGGGGAGCAGAAATGTCCTGCAGGGGCTGAAGGCAAGCCCTAAGGCAGAAGGAGGTGGCAT